CAGGCTGACCGAGTGACATCCAAGACGCCCCACCAGGCCTCCAAGAGCACTCCCCAGAGGGCCCCGGGAAGCAAAATGCACGACTTGCCTTTCAATGTTGGAAGGGCGTCGGCGCCATCAACTCCCCCGCCCCCCCCACCGCTCAAAAATGTCCGAAGAGGCCCCCGATCTTGCCCCGAGACGGCCCAAGGGGCCTCCAGGAGGGCACCGAAACAGCCCAAGAGGGCCCCAAGACGACCTAAAACGCTTCCGAGGCGGCACCAAGGGCCCACAAGACGGCTCCAAAAACGCGCCCAGACGGGGGACCCGAACTGATAGGTCCCCCTTCTGTTATGAAGCGCGGGCCCACGCCCATTTTGATTCCAACAACAAATGCCCCGCGCAGTTCCTCATCGAATCACTCCCGATCGCGATCGCTACTCAACAGCGCGAAACCATCGCCGTGCAAGCTTAAACGCACCTTCCTCTTGTCGTGCTCGAACACACGCGGCCAGGCCAACCCGCTGGATGCCCCAATCCCCTTAGCCGAGACCATCTAGCAGTTGCCCCAGTTGCTCGCAGCGCAACTGGCATCGAGCATCGGTTGCATAAACCGCCCGCGCGCACAAGGCCCAGACACTTTACCCATGCGTTCAACGCAGATCTCCTTGTTCGCCAAAGCACAACAGAATGCTCCCCTCGCGTCAACAAGTCCCAATATCATTCCGTGTTCAGTTATCACTTCGGTGCCCAATTCATTCCGTCGCAGCCAAGGAGAGCGGCAGCTTGCGCGCCTCCGAAGGCGAATCCGATGCCCTTCGGATGCGATAAAATTTGTTGGGCCGCTAGGCGGGGCCGATATTCCGGGCGCGTCGTCGCCCCGTGCATCTGTCGACCCATCTGGCGCTGATTGGTCGTGTTCCGGGCTCCGATCGACATCGACTACCTGATGCTTGTTGACTTGCTCCGTCTCCCCTACTCGGCCCGCGACGAGAGGTCGCATGCTCTCTTACTTCCACACTCATCATGCTGCGCGGCTAACACCACTTGTTCCACGGGCCTCACGTGCGCGACCTGGACTACCAGCAACGCTTGACTCGCGCATTTAGCGCGTTCCCACTTGCGAGCCTGGGTGCCCCCCTCCCCCCCGCGGGCTGTTAATTGATAGCGGTCGGGACATTCCTATCCCCGCCTTGAAGATCTCCCCTCGCCCCCCATGTATTCCTCCAATGTGTGTAACTTGTCGGTCCTCGATTAACTGGCCAGAGCCTAGGCCGATCGTCGCCCTGCGAACACAAGCGCTTCGTGTTGGGCCGCGTTTCTCCGTTGGCGTCGCCCCCTGAGCCCAATGATCTGCCCCCGCCAATTAAAAGTCAACGCGTGTCCCATCTTCTCCGCGTCTAATTTCACCGCGCCAGCAAACCTCTGCATCCAAATGCGCCACATTGTTCACCTCGGCCTGAAAAGGGCACCCTCCTCTCACACCCTGCTTCCATTGCGCCACTAAGCCCATCAGAACGGCACGACTCCTAAGCGTCGGGGCAGATTTCGGCCCTCTTCGCTCGGCCCCCACCCGTGAACTCCCAATGTCGGCGCTGGCTCTTCCATTGTAAATCGCCGTTGGAGATGAACCGCGACGACTCGCCCACTTCCAGCGCCCGAGCTGAATTTGGCACGCATCCCCCACCCCACAAACACACGCGCACACACGCGCGCGCAGGCACACACACACACACACACGCACACACACACGCACACACACACACACACGCGCGCGCACGCGCACGCGAACGCACACGGACGCACACACACACGCGCACGCACACACACTCTCTCTCTCTCTCACCATGGGCGTTAGCATCTGCATGCCTCAGCAGTCTCTGCGCGGCTACGGCTATCAAGCTGGAACTGCCAGCTGGATGCTCGAAGGGAAAGTGCGCGCGCGCCGCCTCCCTCATTGATTCCGCGCGTCTCGAGGGCGGAGTGAAGGCGCTTCAAGCCGCCGCCCCGAATCTCCCTCGTCGCATCTCCCCCGGATCGACTAAAGCCGAACGTTCGCCGTCGATCGATGACAGGCAAGCTGGGGCGAATGACAGACAAGGAGGGTTGCGGACTTGCGCTCGACAATATTCTCCCGGCCTCGCCGCTGCATCCCGACGGTTGCCATATTCATCGCGGGCAGTCAATCCGCGGCGAATCTGGGGGCGAGTCTCGCGGCGTCCGCCGCGCCCGCAAATCAGGCGGGCGAGGCGGCTCCAGGGGCGCGGGCTTGGACATCATACTGTCATGTTCCGCAAAACCTCGCTGCCCCCTAATATCGACAACCTCGCGGGGTGTGATCGCGCCTTGGTTGCCCGGCCACCAGCCGAGGTTTTCGCTGCTGCGCATCAACTGGAATCCTCGCCCGAGGTCACCGATAGTTCCCGCGTCTGTTCAAGGGGCATTGGCATTATCCGCAAGTAAAGGTCCAGGGCCGATCTCCCCGCCCACGCCCAAACTTCCCCTTGGTCCTCGACGCCGTGGAAGAGGCGGCGCCAGGCCATGGAGAAAGCAATTCGCCTTCGTCGTTTGCCCCATCCTACTCCAACTCGCCCCCCCCAGCCCATGCCCCCGTAAATATCGCCCCCCATGCGCTGTTTCAATCGGCGCGAACTTCCCCAATCTCACCCGCGCCACTAATCATCGCATGGCTCGCGCGCGCCCCGCCCCGCCAGGCCACCCCCCTATGCGAGCCTGAAATCGTCGGCCTCGCACTTATCAACAGGGTTCGCGGAGCCCCGCGCTGCCCGATGGCTTTCAGAACCCCGAAGGTCCACGCGTCCAAAGTGGGGTTTTCCGCCTCGCCCGACGGCAGTTTCTTCCTGGGTTTGCGGCCCCTGCCTCAATTGAGCCGCAACTCGCGTTTCCTGACTATTCGGATCGACCTGCTGCGTTAGCCAATCAGTAGGACGCGATCTGCAATCGGCGTCAAGCGGTTCGCGCGTCGCGCCCCCACTGGCGAGGGCCCTGCAACCATCGCGCCCTGGCGCGGGACCCACGACCAAATGCTCAGTTCTCTGAACCGCAATCCCCCGCGCAACGACGGGTTCGGCGTCGGATTTGTCGTCGCCAACAAGGGGCTTCACAACGGGGATGATATTCCTCGTTTGCACCTCGCACTCTGCAAAATTAAAGCCAGGCTGCCAAGGGCACCTTCATGTTGGTTACGTCGTCGATGATTCATATTCCCCCCATCCCCGCCCCTCCGAAACTCCCCAGGCGAATGCCCACGCGGCGGCCTGCGCTCATGTCCGGACCGGTTTCGTTGAATCCGATGAACACTCCACTGTCCCACCTGCCCCCTAAGTAATGACGGCCCATTGTGCCCCGTGCCTCGATGGCGCGATGCGCGCCCCAACGTTCAGCAGCGACTCATTGAGTTCCCTCCCTCCTTGCCCCCCGCGGGCAAATGCGCTGCCGGCCCCGGCCGCAGACTCGTTGAAATCAAAGCGGATGGGTGAAAGCATGAAGTTTCCCGATATTATGTTTGCTAGTTATCTTCGAGAACGCTCTCTACGGCCATTCCATGGCCTTGCGCATCCTCCTACACCTCCTCCTCGCCCCCCCATCCCACCTCCGCCTCGTAGTCATCAGAATCATCATCAACATCAGCACTGTCATTACCATCGCCATCATCAGCATCATCGGCCTTATCATCATAACCCGCATTCTTATCATTCTCAATATCCTTATCATCCTGCTCTTCTTCCTCCCTCTTGGTTCATCCCCATCCTCCTCCTTCTCATCCTTCCCCGATCCACCTGCGACCCGGCTGGGTTGAATGCCGTCGCGGGGTCGCAAGGCGAGCATGCTGCAAACCGAGCAGCCGACATTCACGGGAACTGCTACGGAGAGCACGCCTGCCATGCATCCCGCGGGCGCGGAATGCCCGCGCCAGTGGCGCCGTGTCGTGTCCCCTGGCGCTCGTCGTGCTGGTCGGCAATTGGTGTTCATCGTTGTCATGTTCGTCGTCTCCCACTTTGCTCGCCGTTCGGGATCGTGGAGTTTTCGGGCTGACATGTTGCTAGCTCCTGCCCACGTGAACCACAACATCGACAATCTATATTCCAGTTTGCTGTGCAGCTGGTGGCCTTGTGGGTTGCCTTGTATGTAGATGATGTCTGAATGGCTCCTCTCTCTCTCTCTGCTATCGGGCCTTCTCGGCCAGAAGAGCATGAGCGTTGCGTTGGGTTTCGCCGGCGTGATATCTGTCACATTCCTTGGGCGTTGGTCGCGCGATATGATGAACACGCATTCTGTTTCGCGACGGAATGCTATTATGTGCAATGCAAAGGTCACATCCAAAAAAAAATCTGACAACCCCCCGGACAATCTGGACAACCCCATCCAAAATGCATGCCATAGGCGCCCCAGCATGTGATTGTGGCGGGCGCCCGAGCGGCAGACCCTTTTACGGATGTGACCGGCGCTGAGGCTAGAGCACCACGCCTAATGATGAGGCGGCATGTGGTCAGCGCGACGGCGACAGCACCAATTCCAAACGGATGTGTTTAATGGTATGCATGACAATGATATGCGAACGTGCTGACAAGACGACGCGGCCCGGGCAACCCCTTGGAGCACCCCACAAGTATTGGGACAACCCCGTTCGGACAACCCCCTCTGGGACACGCCTTCCCAAGATGTTTCCATAGGGTACCGTACTGAGTGTCGTCGTGGCGCTCTGCGTCAGCGTCATGGTGTCCGTGGTGTTCAAGCGAAAAATTCGATTTGATATGATCTCGCCATGGTGTGACCTGAAGACAAGAAACCATGGTGCCCGTGGTGTTCAGAGGAGAAAGATGTTCTGATATGACCTCGCCGTGGTGTCGCCTGAAAACAAGAAGGGGAAATGGCCATAAGTGTCCAGACAAAGGTTTAGAGACGGTTGTCTCCTCCGTCGTCCTCCTTCCTATTCCTCCTCCTCCTCCTCCTTTGCCCCCCTCCTGCTCCCATGGAGTCCAGGGCCCTTCCCTGGAAGCCATGCGGTCTTGCGCGGCATCACGCCCTTGTTGGTGGTCGGCTGGAGCCACTCCGTGCCGTGCTTGATGACATTGAAATAATGCGCGCACTGCGCCTGGCCCCCTCCTCGATCCTCGTCGTCCTCCTCCCTCCGTCTCGTCCCAGTCTGTATCTGCAGGAATATGTGTGAGCTGGCGTTGGCCCAAAACGGTTGGCTCGTGCGCACCCGATGTGCAAACTGTGCGCTGCAAGCTGTGTCATCCGCTCTGCGCATGGCGAAAGCATGTGCAATGTGTGTCCTGCAGGCTGTCAGGAGAACGCTGTGTGCAGGAAGTTCGGGCTGGGCTGGGCAGGGCTCGGACGGGCTGCGTGCAGGCCAGGGTGGTCCCCAAGCGAGCGCCCTTGGCGTTCCCGCGTCGGCCGCGGCAGTGATCCGCCGCGCTGAGGGCGAGAATCAGCCGTGCCTGATCGGCATGTTTTCCACCACGACCATCTCCAGTTGGAGGGGTGGGGGTCCTCCTCCTCCTCCTCCTCTTCCTCCTCGTCGTCCTCCTCGTCCTCCTCCTTCCCCCCCTGCAACTTGTGGTGGTGGAGGTGGAAGACAGGCCCATCGGTGCCCACAGCGAGAGTCACAGGGAGACTCCAGGCGCGAAGTCGGCGCTGACCCCAAAGGCGACGCGCTGTGGCCGGTTCGGGGAAGGAGGCCTGAACGCCTCGGCCCCCCTCCTCCTGTGGACTCCGCGGGCGCGCGATGGGCGGCGGGCTCGGGAGCAAATCATGGGAGGCTTGTGCTGAATGCCGTATGTGGCGTCGACTCGTTTTTTTGGTTGGGGGGAGAAGGAGGCGCAAGAGGGAGGGGACGCCCGCAAAAACATATACCGGCGAATGTACCGTCTGTAACATCGACTATTGTCGATTAGCGTCTGGTGATCGATGGGATAGCGCCGATTTAGCGTCGACGACTGTCGGCCAGCGACGATCTAGCGTCGATGAGCGTTGATTGGGAAGGGCCAACAACACAGTACGGGAGGCTCCCATGAGTTGCCACCGAAGGAGGCAGGAGAGAGGGGAGCGCATTAGTCGAGCCTGGCAGGCTCGTGTCGTGACGGCGTGCCCCCCCTCTTCCACAATGGCGCCCTCTTCAGAGGGCCCAGCTGGGCGCCCACACGGCCTTCGAGCACGGCCCAGACAGCAGGCTGCGCACGAGCACGGTTAGGCGGGCTGACGCCGCGATGACGCTGGCCCGCGCACGGAACGCCCCAAGGAGACACGAACACCCCGACTTATCTGCGCCCCACCCGTCGGGAAGGCGGGCATCGGCGCTGGTTCCGCGGCCCCTCGCGAATCATCCAACCTTACACGATCGGCGCTTCCCGATAGCGCAGATCTTTCGATTACGGCCGACTCGGGCTGCTTTCGTGTATCGGGCGTGAGCTGGAGTCAAGCACTAGCTCCCTGGCCGATTCGGGGCCCCTGGCGGCGTTCCACCTGGGACGCCCGCGCTGTGGTCACCGCCGCGTCGACACGCCGCGAACCTGCCGTGGCGCATCAGTCAAGCAGTTATGGCCCTGTTCTGCCCTGGAGGGAGGACTGGGCAGCCTCGGAGCTGCACCGTGTCCTCTCCCCCCACGCGGTCTCGGCGTTGGCGGAGACTCTGCAGCGCAAAGCGGGACTACCTGGAGGAGCCAAAAGGTACCGATACCGCTACTTACTCCCCAGACCTCTCCTCGGGTGCGTTCTGACTGGAATTGTGGGGCGAATCCAGCGGTGGCGATGAGGGCCTCCCAGGAGGCCGAGACATGCGAAAACGCGAGAAAATAACAACGTCCTCCTCTGACTGCCCGGGCTCTGAGACTGACGGAGGTCAGGCCTCGACTTGCTCTGCGGAGAGGGGGGCCGCGGCACTGGCACGCGCAGCCAGCACACTCAGCACATCCCCATCGCAACGTCCATCGCTCCCTCCCTCCTCGCCCCCTCCATCTCTCCCCGTCACCCCTTCTCCCTCCTCCTACTCCTCCCCCCCCTCCTCCCTCTCCTCCCTGCCCCTCCCCCTGCTCCCTCTGCGTGTCTCTCGTCCCCCTCCCTCCATGACCCGCCTCATACCTCCCACTCTCCCCTCCTCCTCCTACCCTGCCCTCTCCCTGTCCGCACCTCTAGGACGAAGCAAGGCCAATGATATAATCGGACAAATATCAATCGTGAATCTCTGAGATCTGGCGGTCCTGGAAGTTGTACCGCGCGAGCAATCCACAACGCTCTGTCCCAACCCCGCCCGAACCGCCCCCTATCGATGGCTACCCCTGGTAAGCCGCAGCCCCGAGTCCCCTCCGGGTTCCAGGGGCTTCTCAGGAAGCCCGCGTAGGACCTGCGCGAGTCGTCGTACAGGGGATATTCCCACTTGTACATCGGCGCTCTGTCCTTGACCTGGGGAGGGGAGAGACTCCCAAAAAACCGAGCGTACCTTCGAACGTTCTCGTTTATGACGCTGCCTCTTCTTCGAGGTGTTTGGGGGAGATTCTCTGCTGAATTCCGAAATATACGAAGGCTAAGATCGGACAGTTGCAAACGGAGTGGGAGGATAAGTCGGGTCGGACGGAGAAGGGGGGAGGGTGCGCAAAGGGGAGGTTCACGAATCAGCTCGCGTGGCCGGTGTTCCCGGCGCCGGCGGCAGCCATGTATCAAAAAACGCGGTGGGACGCGGAGCCGAATCCAGATGCATGCAGCAGACTTGGCCCCCCCCCTTCCCCGATCTCAGCCCGTTCGTCCGCCCCGAAAAGGAGGCTGGTGATGGGGATCACTGCACGTGGGGAGAGGGAGGGGGGTGAGAGGAGGACTGATCCCACCACCAAACCCTCCGCTGGCGGGCAAGAGGGATCGAGGCGAGGGGGCGGCCTCCCAGAGAAGGCGAGGGGGGCTCCTCGGGAGGCGGCCGCCCTCTCTTGAGCACGGCAATCTGCGCGACGAGGAGGCCCAATACATCCCGACAAACCCAGGGCCCAAGCACAAACGGTCGGAGGTCCGCACGGACTTCATGGGTTGGCGCCGGAACCCCCCTCCCTGGCGCGCGGAGAGCGCCACGGGCGGCGCACGAGGCGCCCCCAGAGAGGCCCAGGACCGAGCAAAGAAATCCGCGCGGACTCCTGAAATGACTACCTACCCAACCACCCCAACCCAACCCGAAGACCCGCATTTCGAATTGGGGGGGTACGGGTTCCATGTGTTGTTTTTCCCATGCTCCCCGACCCCCTCCACCCCCCACACCGGAAATGGAGGGCAAATTGTTTGAACGATACGCCATCAACGCTCGCCGCAAAGCTGTCCAGCTAACTTGGCCGAAACTCCGGCCAAGGACTCAGGCAGAAACAAGTTTTGGCCACGCCACAATTACGATGTTACTTCCTGCAGCCGCCGGCGTGGGCGGACAAATCGTGCCCCCTAGACAAACCCACGCAAACCAAAGGAACTACCTGTGACAGTTATTGCCTGGGCGAGCGGACGAGGAGGAAGAGAGGGGAGGGCGAGGACGAGGAAGAGGAATGCGTTACCTCAGGGACCAGCCTCCAATCGAAGATAGGCCGGGTCGCTCGAAATTGACCTGCTGTCTGTCGAAGGCGTTGGCCAGCACGAGCCTACTGATACGAATTCCCACTTAAAACGTATCTGTCAGATCGGACAAGTGCTGTGTGCAAAGCTTGATGGCTCCAACGGTCCATCCAGAAGTCTGAAACGTAGACTGGTCATACCCCAGCACTCGGAAGTCCCCCGCGAGTGCAGCTCCAGTCGGAGCTAATCAAATTATTTGATTAGCTCCGAAGCAGCAGCGGCGGCAACGGCAGCGGCAAGGAAAGGGAAACCAAATTGAGGCCTGCGGGTTAGGTTGGGGTGGTTTGGTGGGTGGTGATGAAAGTGTACGGATGTCAATTAGACGTCTATTCATATGTCGACATCCCTGAGGCTATTACCGTGTGCTCAGATGGGCCGATGGAATCGGGAAAAGACTCCCTGCTCTGTGACACACGGCCTCACGGCCTTCACAGCTGACCTCCCGGCCTGACGCCATACCTGTCCTCCCACCCCTTTACTCCATCTCATTGTCCTCCCTCCCGTCCTCTGGTCTCCCCCTCGCCTCTCCCTGCCCCGCTCCTGCCCTCACTCTCCACCCCCCATCCCCTGTCTGCTTCTCATCATCCCCCTCCTCTGCCGTAACGAGCAGCTGACCGCTTCTCCTCCGCCCTGCCGTACCTTCTCTGGAGCGTCCCAAGCGTCTTCGCGAGTCTCACAATCCGAAGGATTCAGGGTGAAGCATCTGAGAGACGAGGCCCGCACCTTGCACAGCGGCTCTCTTTAGATGGCCCAGCTCGGCGCCCGCACGGCCTTCGAGCACGGCCAGCGCAACGAGACCCGCAAGTTCTGGCACAGCCCAGGCAGCAAGCTGCGCACAAACACGGTCAGGCGGGCTGAAGCCGCGATGACGATGGCCAGCGCACGCACGGAAGGTCCCAAGGAGGCACGAGCACCCACACTGATCTGGGCCCCACACGTCCTGCGATATGCGGGAAAACGATACGGCAGGCTCTCGTCGTGTCGACCCCGGCGGTGGTTCCTGACACTGCGGGGATCGTACAACCTTGAACAATAGGAAGTTTCCGAAACGCTGGATTGTTCAACGATGGACCGATCCCAGGTCGCCGCCAGCGTTCAACGTTGAACGCCGGCGGCGGGGTCGCCGCCGACCACTCGACGCAACCTGATCGGACAAGAACGGGAAGCGCCGATTTTGTCCATTGGGCTCGTAGGGTGAACAAGAAAAGGATAATAGAGACGACGGAGCGGTGGATGTCGAGGATGGCAGCGTGGATGACGGGGAGGACAGCGAGGGGGGCAGAAGGACAACGAGTAGGAAGACAAGCGCGAGGACGAGGATGAGATGAGGAGGACGAGTACGAGAAGGAACGAAGCGGAAGAGGAGGAGGAGGATAATAAAATTACCCAGTGACGTACCCACCCCATTTGTATCAATGGACACGAGGAGTTTGCCAAAACTTGTATGGACAATCAACTTGATGTGTAAGCTACTTGGGAGGCGTCACTGTGCTGGGCCCCGCAAGCAAGCCTCGAAAGTGGCGACAATTTCACAGATCGCAGCCCCCCAGGGATGGCGAGATCTAATTTGAATCCGCCGTGTGTACCCTCTGTGCTGGGCCCCCCCAGCAGGCCTCGAAAGTGGCGACAGTTTCACAGATCGCAGCCCCCCAGGGATGGCGAGGTCCCATTTGAGTCCGCCGTGTGTACCCACTGTGCTGGGCCCCCCAGCAGGCCGCGAAAGTGGCGACAGTTTCACAGATCGCAGCCCCCCAGGGATGGCGAGGTCCCATTTGAGTCCGCCGTGGGTACCCACTGTGCTGGGCCCCCCAGCAGGCCGCGAAAGTGGCGACAGTTTCACAGATCGCAGCCCCCCAGGGATGGCGAGGTCCCATTTGAGTCCGCCGTGGGTACCCACTGTGCTGGGCCCCCCAGCAGGCCTCGAAAGTGGCGACAGTTTCACAGATCGCAGCCCCCCAGGGATGGCGAGGTCCCATTTGAGTCCGCCGTGGGTACCCATTGTGCTGGGCCCCCCAGCAGCCCTTGAAAGTGGCGACAGTTTCGCAGATCGCAGCCCCCCAGGGATGGCGAGGTCCCATTTGGGCCCGCCGTGGGTACCCACTGTGCTGGGCCCCCCAGCAGCCCTCGAAAGTGGCGACAGTTGCACAAATCGCAGCCCCCCAGGGATGGCAAGGTACAAGTTGAATCCGCCGTGGGTACCCGCTGTGCTGGGCCCCCCAGCAGCCCTCGAAAATGGCGACACTTTCGCAGATCGCAGCCCCCCAGGGATGGCGAGGTCCCATTTGGGTCCGCCGTGGGTACCCACTGCGCTGGGCCCCCCAGCAGGCCTCGAAAATAGCGACATTTTCACTAATCGCAGCCCCCCAGGGATGGCGAGGTCCAATTTGAATCCGCCGTGGGTACCCTCTGTGCTGGGCCCCCCAGCAGCCATCGAAAGTGGCGACACTTTCGCAGATCGCAGCCCCCCAGGGATGGCGAGGTCCCATTTGAGTCCGCCGTGGGTACCCACTGTGCTGGGCCCCCCAGCAGGCCTCGAAAGTGGCGACAGTTTCACAGATCGCAGCCCTCCAAGGATGGCGAGGTCCAATTTGAGTCCGCCGTGGGTACCCACTGTGGTGGCCCCCGAGCAGGCCTCGAAAGTGGCGACACTTTCGCAGATCGCAGCCCCCCAGGGATGGCGAGGTCCCATTTGGGTCCGCCGTGTGTACCCACTGTGCTGGGCCCCCCCAGCAGGCCTCGAAAGTGGCGACAGTTGCACAAATCGCAGCCCCCAGGGATGGCGAGGTCCCATTTGAGTCCGCCGTGTGTACCCACTGTGCTGGGCCCCCCAGCAGCCCTCGAAAGTGGCGACACTTTCGTAGATCGCAGCCCCCCAGGGATGGCGAGGTCCCATTTGAGTCCGCCATGTGTACCCACTGTGCTGGGCCCCCCAGCAAGCCTCGAAAGTGGCGACAGTTTCGCAGATCGCAGCCCCCCAGGGATGGCGAGGTCCCATTTGAGTCCGCCGTGTGTACCCACTGTGCTGGGCCCCCCAGCAGGCCTCGAAAGTGGCGACAGTTGCACAGATCGCAGCCCCCCAGGGATGGCGAGGTCCAATTTGAGTCCGCCGTGTGTACCCTCTGTGCTGGGCCCCCCAGCAGGCCTCGAAAGTGGCGACAGTTTCACAGATCGCAGCCCCCCAGCTGGCACGCAGCGACGAGCGAGGCAAAAGGCAAGAGGGAAGAGAGGGGCGGGAAGGAAGGAAGGAAGAAAAGAGACGCGCGAGCAGTGCTCTATTCAAAACGAGAACCAAACGCAGGATGGTTGGGAAATAGTAATGACAGTAAGTAGCCCGACGAAAAAGACGTCGAACAAGAGAGGGGTCCTCGTGATCTTATGAGGCTACCCTATGGGCTGTTGAGGCCGTCTGGGGCTATTATGGGGCATCCTGGGGGGTTCTTGGGGGCCTCTCGGGGTCCTCATCGGGGCTACTGGGGTCTTCTTGGGCTGTCTGGGCACGTCTTAGGGTTCTATGGGGGCTCTCTCAAGTGAACTTGACGCCATCTTGGGCTGTCTTGGGCCGTCTTGGGGCCATCTTGGGCGGTCCAGGGGCCTCTTCGGTCGACTCGACGCAAACCTACCGTACAGTGACCTTACTACCATGAGGATAATCAAATCCAACGACCACTTCGGCGTGTGTGAGGGGCTTGTCTGTTCGAGTCGTTGTCTCCGTCAGTCGTCATCTCCGTGGTCCCTTCTCCATACCCCCTCCGTCTCAAGCCTGTCAGCGGGAGAAATCTAGCAATGTCGAAATCTCGGAAGGAATCCCCTTCCCTTTGATC